CTATGCTCCAGACATCAAGGCATTTGATGCCCGGCTGCAGAAAGGGGAGATCTTCTCCAGCGAGGACCTCAGCTGGTCAGTGGCTGGGGCTGTGAGGGTCTCCTGGTGCATGGGGGGTCCTTGCCTGACCAGATAACACCCCTGCACAGGTACAGGAAAGTCCTGGGGAAGGCACGGAGATTTGAGGTGGACCGGCACCGTGTCATTTTATGCACCTGCTCGTGTGCGGCCTTGGCTAGCCTCAAGAGCCTGGACGTCCGGCAGATTCTCGTTGATGAGGCGGGCATGGCCACAGAGCCCGAGACCCTCATCCCCCTGGTGAACTTCTCTCAGGTGGAAAAGGTGTGTGAGGCCAGTGGTGAGCTGGGAGCCGCAGGCAGGTGTCACGGAGTGTGGCCTCTGCTGTGCATGGTGGGTTAATGATGGCTGCGGGGCTGGGTACCTGTGCATCTGGGGGTGTGGGGATAATGCCTACCTGTTCCTCCAGGTGGTTCTGCTTGGAGACCACAAGCAGCTTCGGCCTGTGGTCAAGAATGAGCAGCTGCAGAACCTGGGGCTGGACCGGTCCCTCTTTGAGAGGTATCACCGGGATGCCTACATGCTGGATACACAGTACCGCATGGTAAGGCCATCCCAGCCTCTGCACCTCCACCCGAGGGTGGTCTGGGGGTAGGGACACCAGCGGTGTTGGGCCACTCACCTCCCTCTTTTGTCCACTCTGGCCTTCTCCTGGGGCCACAGTGGTGGCAGGTAGGAGCTCTTGACTCCAGGGCAGGTGGACAGGGGCCTGTCCCTGGCTCATGTCCTTGCTTTGCAGCACGAGGGCATCTGCACCTTCCCCTCCATGGAGTTCTACAATAACAAGCTGAAGACCTGGCAGGGCCTGAGGAGGCCACCCAGTGTCCTAGGCCATGCTGGCAAAGAGAGCTGCCCTGTCATCTTTGGCCATGTGCAGGGTCATGAGCAGAGCCTGCTGGTGTCCACAGATGAAGGGAATGAGAACTCCAAGGCGAACCTGGAGGAAGTGGCAGAGGTGGTGAGTGTCATGGAGACCATCCCTGGTGCCCCTTGGTTGGGGAGAGCTTCCTGGGGTGGAGGCAGAGGAGCTGAAGGAACAGGGGCGGCCCAGTGCCCGGGGTAGGGGAGGCAACAGAGCTGGCTTCACAGGCACCCTCGTCCTCCAGGTCCGCATTGCCAAACAACTGACCCTGGGCAGGACAGTGAACCCCAAGGACATCGCCATCCTGACACCCTACAATGCGCAGGTTGCTGAGATCAGCAAGAGCCTCATGCGAGAAGGTGTCACTGGAGTGACAGTGTGCTCCATCACCAAGAGCCAGGGTGAGGCCGGCTCTGGGCCAGGCGACATGAGGGCCGAGGGGTCAGGAGGTGGGCATAGGCCAATCACCATGTCCCCCCCTACCAGGGAGCGAGTGGCACTATGTGCTGGTGAGCACCGTGCGCACCTGCCCAGAGAGTGACGTGGACCAGCGCCCGACCAAGAGTTGGCTTAAGAGGTTCCTGGGCTTCCTGGTGGATCCTCACCAAGTGAACGTGGCCATCACCCGGGCCCAGGAGGGGCTCTGCCTCATCGGTGAGGGCTGCTTGGCTGGGCGGGGTTCCATGGGGCGGGGCTGGGGGCTGGGGGGCCACCGCCGATGCCGCCCTCTCGCAGGAGACCACCTCCTCCTGCGCTGCTGCCCTCTGTGGCGCCGGCTCCTGGACTTCTGTGAGGCCCAGCAGAGCCTGGTGCCCGCCGACCAGGTGCGGGTCCGGCAGAGGCCAGCCGTGCCTTCCTGAAGACGGGACGGCGGGAACAGCCCCAGCCCCGCTCTCCCGGCTGCCGTTGGGGGCCCCACCCCGCGGAATCCGTGAGCCCTCCCTGGTCACCGCCGGCCCGGGTGGCGGAGGCCGCCCCCGCCAAGCACAGTAGCCACCCTGCTGCTGTGCGCACCAGCTCGGGAGGAAGGAGGAAGCGCTGGGGCGTCCCCACCCTCCCTGCAGGGCTGCCTCGCTGGGACGTTCGGTGCCGGGGAGTGTCTCAGGTCCTCCGGACCAGACCACACCTTCCGGGGTCAGGAAGGAAATCCTGCTGGGGCTGCTCTTTGGCTTTGGACACCACCCCCTGACCCTGGGTGCCAGCCATGGAGCTTAGCTTCAGTTCCTATTTTTAAATAAGCCAGAAGCAGTGTCTTTTTTACTGGACCAGGGTCCCCTGCCCAAACTCAGGGCAAAGAGGCCTCCCGGGAAGAGAGAGAGGCCTTTTCTCTGCCGCCACTGCCGGTCTAACTCAGACCCACAGCTGTGTCCCTCAGGGGCAGCCTGCCCTGGCAGGGGAAGGGCAGACCAGAGCCAGTTGCCCCCACAGCCTCACCTAGACCTGCCCTTCCCAAAGGAGCCAGGTTGTGCAATACTCCGGGCGTGTGGGTAGGGGCTGGGGCCACGCCTCCCCTGGGTGGGCTGTCCTGTGCTTGCCCGCCTGGTTGCTGCAGCCCTCCTGTGCCCTCAGACCTGCTCCCGGTCAGGGCCGTGGGGCAGCCTGCCCAGGTATGTCTTTCTCTGCAGGGTCGAGGACCTTCGCCTCCTCCTCGAGGTGCATGTGTGTCCTGCCTTCTCTGGAAATCTCTTGCCTTGCTACCTGACCTTTGCCCCCAGCCCACCCCTAGGCAGCTCTGACCCTGGATGCCATGCATTCTGATGTCCCCCTAGCCTGGGGGATGCTGCACACGGGCTGTTAACCCCGGGGGGCTCACCACCTGCGGCTTTGCAGCGGACCCTCCGTGGGGTGTCTAGGGGGCCTGATGCTGATGTTTTCTACGAATCAAATTTCTACATTCCAGTTTTTGTATCTTTTCTTGAACTCTGTGTAAAGTGATTGAATATTGATTTTATTATAAAGACTACTGAATGATTTTCTCACTTCTGGGTGTTTTGAGGATTAGGAGCAAAAGCGGGGGGTGGGGGCTCCTCTTGCTTTGAGTTGCAAGATGGCTGTTGAGGTCAAGAGGCAGGAGCCCATTGTAGCCAGATGCTGGACGAGCAAGTGTAGAGAGGGCTGGTGTGCCCACGTCACAGTGGACAGGGCAGCATCGGGCGGAGGGCCTTCTATACCTGGCAGGGGAAGCTGGGTGGGGCCGGTGGGACGAGGATGGGCTACTTAGGGCTGGTGAACTGTGTCTAGGTGCTGTGGGGGGCACCCAGCCCTCTGAACTCTGACCCAGGTGCTGCTGGCCCCACAGCCCAAAGTCCCAGAAGCTGCCAGCCTTGACAGCATCCTGTGTAGCTGGGTCTGAAATTACTTTCCTGGGCCCTTGTCACCTCACACCCACTCCAGGCCAAACAGGGCCGGCAGTATTTGGCTTGTGTTTGGCTGAGGCCCGTTGCCTGCGCAGCACCAGCTGTTCAGAGCCTAAGTGCAGATGATGTCAGATGGGTCAGGAGGTCACCCACAGAGACGCGACAGGGAAAAGGGGTCCCCAGGGTCTGTGTGCCCCATGTGCTTGTGGTGAGGTGGTGGAGCAAGTCAGGTGGGCCGGCAGCTGCGGGGGCATAGGGGAAGTTTTACAAAGATGACGGTGAAAAGTGCTTGAACAGAGGACGAGCGGGTGCCCTGAGACAGGAAGCAGGGAATCTCTTGAGCCTGCAGTCAGGGAGGGCTTCCCGGAGGAAGGGGTGTAAGCAGGGCGCACAGAAGCGGCTTGTGGGGCACTTGTGGGGTGCTGGCGGGGCTGGGCCTCGTTGAGGTAGGGTTGCTGGCTCAAGTCACGGGTGTCAGTGTCCCAGGCAGCGAGAGAGCCCCAGCCAGAGGTAGAAAACGTGCTCGGGGCCACGCAGGCGAGCTGTGGGCGAGCATCAGTACCAAGGAAGTCCCCCAGTGGGTGTGCCCATGTGCCTCCCTAGGTGAACTGCCTGTTGGTGGGATGGGTGTGACCCAGACAAGCCCGACCCCCGGTCCTCTGGCTGGCTCTCACCCCTTTCTTCTCCCCAGCCTTCTCCACCTGGGGCCTTCCACCCCCAGTCCTTTCTGAGGAGCATGAGGACTCTGCCCCGGAGCCCTGGGAGCCTTGGGGCGACGACCCTGTGTAACACCCAGGAGAGAGTGCCCCACTGTCACAGGACGCTGCGGAGTGGCAGTCCCACTCCATCCCCTCAACGGCATGCGGGCGCTCCCACCCAGGCAGAGTCCCCCCACTCCCAGAGCACGCGTCCGTGGTAGGGGTGGGCTGCCGGGACCTTTCTGACGGATTTGGAGGCCCTCTTTTGCGAAGCCCCATCTCTTTCAGTGGGGGAGGGCTCTCCGTTCCGATCACCCTGCCCTGGCCACGCCTCGTCCCGCTGGAGGGCCTGCCACCCCAGTGACCACCAGGAGCGTGTGACTGTGATGGGAAGCTGGTTATCGGTGTACTGACAGTGCTCCTGAGCTGCAGCCAGGGCGCAAGGTGCTGTCCCTCCTGGGCCTGGACACAGCCAAGCAGCGGACGCCAACCTGGGCCTGGACACAGCCAAGCAGCAGACGCCAACCTCCACCAAGAAGTGGACATGTACATGGGAGGGTGCAAGCTGTTGACCTCGCTGGTGGTCACATCACCACACCAGAGGGCAAGGACAGACTGCTGAGGACCCTATGAGGGGCTGGTCACCTACATGAAGATGGTTACCCAGAGTTGCTGGGGAGGGACAGTGGGCTGCCAGGAGGGCCACCCGAATAGTAGCTGTGCACCAGGCTGTGTCTCGGGTAGGTTCCTGCCTAGAACCCTCACCCACCCATGGGGGTGCAGGTGAACTTCAGCTTCTTTCAGGAGAAACAAATACTATGTCCTCTTGGCCTTGAGCACCCTGACTCCAGCCAAGCTGGGGCCATAGTACTGCGGCCGTCAGGGGTATCATCCTCTGGGGGAACCCCCATCTAGGAGGCAAGGAAATACAGCCAGAGTGTACCAGGCACATGGCTGGTTGTGATAGAGAGGGGAAGACGGGAGGGACTGGGGTAGAGGTGGCAGAGCCCGTCGAGCAGTTCTCATTGGTGGTGGCAGCCATGCCAGGGCTGATGCTCCTTGCCTCAGGGGTTGGCTGTCCTGGAAGGTCCACCTTGGGGCTCCCCCTGGAAAAGGGGGCTGGTGCTCATGGGTGGGCTGGGCCGAGTCAGAAAAAATACTTGTGGCTGCTGCTGCCTTTAAATGTAAGTAGGTTTGTTTCTTTAATTGTATGTTTATACTCCTCTTAATTAGTGGATAAATATTAGAAAATCATCTCTCAGAAGGTGTGGTTGGGAATGGGCCCAGCTCACCCAGCTGACTGGGGGTGGGCCTTTCTGGGGACCCTGACCCGGTCTGCAGCGTGAGGCTGTCCCGCCAGGGCTCGTACACCAGCGTGTAGCCCTCTGCTCTCCTGATGGTGAACTTGTAGGAGCGGCTGGGCAGCAGGTTATAGATGTTGAAGGTGCAGGCAGCCACGGGGATGATGCCACACTGTGTGCACTCCTCCTGTGTCTGTGGGTCCAGCAGCTTAAAACGAAGCTCAAACTGCTCCGGCCCTGCTGGCTGGATGGTGACAAACCAGCGCAGGCTGACCCAGTCCTGGTGGGCCACCGACAATCTGCGGTCAAACATGATGGGCATCTTGGTGCTTAGCATGAGCTGGATGGGTGGGATCTTGGTGGAGCCGACGTCAGACACCAGGTGGTGCTTCATGTGCAGGCGCCCCGGTACCATCATGGCCAAGAAGCTGTCCATGATGGCCAGCAGGTCTGCCAGCCGCTGCTCTACCAGCCCCCAGCCTGACAGGAAGGGCTGTGGATCAGGCGATTCGCGCAGGGCATCCAGCTCAGCGCGGCCTTGGGCCAGCTGCTCCAGCAGGTCCCCGAGCAGCAGGAGCTGGATCTTGGTCTGGGCAGTGCCCAGTTTCTTCATGCGCTGGAACCTCCGGGGGTCGATGTGCTGGAACACGGTGTTGGGCACCGCCAGTGGGTTCTGGTCGCCCAGGGCCAGGTGCTTGGGGAGGATCTCGATGTGGTAGGAGCATTTCCTGAGCAGATTCATGCGGGCATGATGGCGCTTGAGCAGATGGGGGCTCAGGTCGGAGGTCAGGAACTCTCGCAGAGCATGGCGGCGCTCCACGTAGGTCCGCCAAGCCTCTGGTTCCAGTAGCTGCTGACCCTCCACCTCTTCCACGTTCTCCTGGTCCGGGAAGGACTGGGGACTGTCCAGCTTCATCTTGTCTAGGCCCAAGCCTGTCATCTGGAAGTTCATGGTCTGGGAGTGGGGGTAGAGTGTGGGGTGTGAGCTGGAGCAGGTAGGCTGGCCTCTGCCACCTGCCCAAGGGCCCACTCGGGACAGTGTTTATGTGTGTGTGGGGTGACTTCGAGCCCGCTGTCCCCACACTGGGCACTCTATCCTCCCCAGGGGGAGAACTGAGTGGGGAGGGCAGGTTTGTCTGGGAAGAGGCTGATGGGGGGGCAGATCAAGAAAAAAGGGATACTGCACGGTAAACACTCTGCTGATGATTGGTTGTGATGACACAGGGCAGGGCTGAGACAGTGGGCTCTGGGGCTGACCGGAATGGCCGGGGCAGGAACCCAGTCACTGACCAACTGTGTGGCCTGGCAAAGGCCTCAGTTTGTTGTCTGAAATGGGGCCGTTGAGTCAGTGTGATCCTGTCTGGGCAGCACCAGGCCCCCTTGGGGACACCATGCCTCCCTGCAGGTGCGGAGCAACAGGCCAGCACTCATCCAGACACAAGGTCAGGTGTCCCCAAAGACGAGGCATGGGAAGCAGGGTGACCCCAGGCTCCAGCTCCAAGGAGTCATCATACTAGCTCCTGTTTGCCTGGCCCTGCTGTACTGGGGGCGTCTGGTGCCCTGAGGTGGCACTGACTCCACAAGAGAAGCCCACACAGGGGTAAGACCATCACCACCTCTCACAGCTGGGGTGCCTGAGCCCAATACGCTTCTAAGCTGACTCCCAAGCCAGCGTTCGAGGCCAGCCATTGACCCCAGACACCCTTTCTTTCTGTGCTGTCCCCCACCTGATCCTACCTCTCTCTGGGTGTCAGTGGGCGGGGGCTGTGCACCCCAGCAGGGCACAGCTGTAGTCCGGGGCCCGGCTGGCACACAAGGCCACAGGGTGGGCCCTGTAAGCTTGGGGCTCACTGGAGAAGGGCCTACAGTCTCGGCCACTACCCCAGGCCGCCCCAGCCCTGGGATGGTGAGGAAGACCTGTTGCCGGGATAGTTGTCTTCTCTTGGGAGATGGCAGTTTGGGCCAGCAATCCTAGGGTTGCATGACCTGCAGACAGCTGGGAGGTGGAACGAATTGCCCAAGCTTGCACTGCTAAGTGGCACAGTAAGGTGGGGACCCAAGTCTGACTCCTCCCCAAAGGCCAGGCCTTGACATTCCTGGGGCAGAGTCAGACCAGGACCTGGGCACAGCAGAGAGGGTATCTGGGGTGAAGTGAGACCCTGGGCAAGCAGAGACCCAGGGCTTCCGACTCAAGTCCTGCTCTGGTCTCTGGGAGGAGCTCCTGCCTCTGGCTCTGGCTGCCAGGTCAGGGATGTTTTCCAGTTGTCAACAGTCTCCCAGTTGGAAAATGGCAGAGGGGCTGCTTCTGAACTCTGGGGAAGGGTCTGCTCGGCCTGCTGGCCTGCCCACCCGGACCTACACTCTCTTCGCCCCTGCACCCCGACCTTATGCACCCTTCACCTCTCGGGGGCCATCTCCCTGACACCTACCCCCACCCTCTGGTCCCCTCCCCAGGCCCTCGCCCAGCCTCGCTGAGCACCCACTTGCCCTCCTTCCGGAGTGGTGAGCCCAGCGGCCCACTGTGCGCCCTGCCCAGAGCAGCTTCCCGCGGGGTTGCCGCGTTGCTCGGTTGCCGTGGGAACCGCGGGCCTCTGTGACGCCCCGCCCGGTGGGGGGGGGCTGCCCTGGATGTGGGAAGACCCCGCCCCTCCGCGCGCCTCCACTCGCGGACTCCAGGGAGACGGTGCCTCGGCCGGTCCTGGGTCCCGGCTCCGACCCCCGGTCTGGGGAGGACAGGATCCCCGGGCGTGACCCGGCTGCGACCTGGGAACCACCGAGCGCGCTGGGCGGGAGGCCAGGCCCGGGTGGGGCTCCGCTGAGACTCCACGGAGGCTGCCGCCCTCCGCGCTGGGCCCTGCCCCGGGTCGGTCGGCGGCTGCAGCGCTTCCGGAAGGGGCCTCCCACGCGGTGCTCCAGGCCCGCGCCCCCGGGGCTCCTTGGAGGAGGCGAACCGAGAGAGGTGGAAGGTGGTTGATTCCTGTCTCTGCAGCTAGGGGACGGAGAGGAAGGGGACAGAGGGGGGACGACGGGAAAGGGGGGGTGCAGCTGGTTCAAGCCGAGGGCCCTGATCTGACAGATGGGGTCTCCGCAGCTCAGGGAGTCCCTCAGAGGAGTCCTGAGCCCTCCAGCCACCCCTGTGACCCCCAGATAGGCTCAGGACCTCTGAGACCTCTCAGACAGCTTGGGTTCCCACACCAGCTGCGGTGTTTGCCCCATCTTGGGGAGGATGGGGGAGGGAGGGCTGCCCTTGCCATCCCTGTCTCCACCTGCTCGGGGGTCAGTAGTGCGACCCTGCCAGGATGTCTGTCCCTGACCTCCCTTCCCTGTGTATGCCCAGCTCTCCAGGTAACCCCAACTCCTGAGAGGAGTTCCCGTGGCTAGGTCCCACTGGCCTGTCCTCTGGTCCAGGCCTGGTGCAGGGATCCAGGGGGGTGGACCAGGCAGTGGGTGTGCGTGGGTGGTGGTCCTACCCCTCCCCCTGCCCTGGGCTCTAACTTACAGGGAAGTGGGGGGATGCTGTATGAAGGTCGGCGGGGGAGGCTGGCACCTATGAAGTGCGGAAGGGATGAAACTGATGGGAGGAAGAGCCCCCCAAGCCCCCCCACAGAGTGGCGCAGAGCAGCTCTCCCTGCCACCTCTATGGCCCCACACCCTTTTATTTTATTCTTGTTCCTCAGCTAATTTTTAAAGATTAAAATTTTAATTTTAAAGTGACCATAGATCCGTGTAGTTGTGAGAAATGAGCAATCCCTGTAGCCTTTGCTCTGGCTGCTGCTTACTGGGCACCAGTGGGTCCCGACACTGGCCATGTGCAGTGCCAGCGCCCAGGACTTGGAGGAGAGAGCTGGGTAAAGAGAGGTGATGGGGGGGTTGGAGGAAGAGGGGTTGGAGGGGCCTGACAGAGGGGCGTCCTGTAGGGGTCCCTGCTGCGCACTCTGCACTGGGGAGCCGGGGGGAGCCTCTCTCCCTTGGGGGAGGGGCCTTCCTCAGACCGTGTCCTGGTCACCAGGAGATGGAGTAGGCATTCTTGTGAACCAGGTCCCCCCTGCCCAGCACAGGTTCCTGCTGGAAAATGTCCCTGCTATGAGCTCAGAGAGGGATGGATGCAGCCTGTTTCCTCATCTGTAGGAGGATGAAGAGCCCACCCACCGCGGGGGTCTTTGCAGCAGTGCCAGGGTGGGCAGCCTTCTGCGCTGTCCCGATTCACTCTCTGGGCTGTTCTTTGGGTGACAGGAGGCTTGGGGACAGGGTGTGGGGACCAGGCCAGAGACCAAGGAGGATCTCTCCCCATTTGCCTGAGTGCCAGATGGAATGTACTGAGTTCCAGAGGCCAGGATCCTGTGGCTTTGAGGGCCTGGGACTGTCCAGGAGGAATCTGTGTCAAGGGCTCTGAGTGCTTGACCCGGAGCGTGATCAGCGCCACAACCTGCACAGGCCGCCCTGTGGCCGCATGGGTCAGAGACGCAGAGCATGGCTTCCTAGTAGGAGAAGCAGTGCTGGTATGGAGGCTTTAAGAAAACCAGTGTGCAAAAACCCAGCCTTGCACGTGTTCGGGAGGAGTGGAGTGGGTGGTGGAGCCTGGGGGAAGCATCAGGGGCTCCCCCCCCGGTTTTGTTTGTAAATCTCTCCTCATCAATACCACCCACCAGGATGATGTCAGTTCCACGGAGCCTCAGAGGGCTGATGATGCGGGGCAGCTCATGGTGTCTTGGCCACGTAACAGCTTGTCAGTTGACTGAACTGCTCACCCAGGTGTTGCCCCAGCAAGCCCCTGGGTGACCTCAGGGAGAAGTGACCCGCAGCCCTGGGGCAGGAAGGCAGATGTGCGGCTTCTCATTGGCTGGGCAACCGCTGCACTTGCTCACAGGATGCATTCAACAGCAGAGCATGAACATTCGGCATCGATCTGGTGTGGGGTTTGGAGGGAGGACCTGCAGCGTTCATAAAAGGGGTTTGGGCTCAAGAAAGACCACTGGGTGCTAAAGGGTTTGGACCCAGACCCCACCCACCCATTTGGATCTGCCCAGCCCATTTGTGCCCAGGAGCAGAGGCCCACCTGGCAGCAGTTCGCCTCAGTGTGCAGGGGTCCTGGTGCTGTTCAGGCAGAAGAGCAAGGTGTACCTCCTCCCCCGCACCCTGTCCCTGCCCCTGGCACCCAGTTCTGAGCCTGCAGCAGCCACCAGGGTCCTGAAGGCATATCGCCTCATCAGCCATGCACCTGTTGTCCCTAAGGCCTGCAATCCTCACCAACATCCCACTTTATAGCATAAAACCAGGGGGGCAGAGAGCTTACCTCACTCATGAAAGCCTCACGAGCTGAGGGTGGGGTGACCGAGGCTGTGCCCCCTGGGCTTGGAGCCTTAGCTGTGGAGGCTGCAGCTGGCCTGTGTGGCTCTGCCCTGCACGGGGCTTTATGAAGTTAGATTTGGCCAACATTTAAAGAACAAGGTAGTTTTCCTCACAAATCCGGCTCACCACTAGGCAACTGATGGCTGGTGCTGCTGCCCAGTGGCTGTGCCTTCTTGGAACCCGACCCTCTGAGGTCAGGGCTCAGGTCAAAGGCGGTGTGCAGCGCTCTCACATGCGACCCTGGCCTGGAGGGGCCATCCAGCCCGAGGCCCATTCCCTGGAGGCCCCTCCCCAGGCCCGATCTTCCTGTCCTTCTGGGGCAAGATATGGCCAGAGGGGGTGCAGGATGGCACACCCCACCCCCCGCATCCCAGTCCCTGACACTGCTGCCCCAGAGCCCTTCAGCCATGCGGTGCCTGCACAGATTTCCAGGGTGGAGTGGGAGTTCGCGGGGTCGGGTACCCAGGAGCTGAGCATCAAGGGCAGGGACAGGCTCTAGGTCCTCAGGGAAGAGGGTGACTGCGTCTTCGCTGCGAGACTCTCTGGCCTGCCCAGCGCGGGGCTGGTGCCCATCACCCATGTGGCCAAGGCCACCCCTGAGATGCTCTCAGACCGACCATGAGTACCACGACTCTGGGGAGTGGGGTGGAGTCTGGGGACTGCATGTCTGTGATCTGTCTGTCCCTCATCTGTGGCCACGCTTCTCTAGGCCCTGCCCTGCAGCGGTGAGAAAGCACACAGGCATCGTGCACGCAGGTGGCGACTGTGCGCCGACACTGCCCAGGGGGAAAGAGGCAGTGACTCAGGCAGGAATGGTCCAGCAGAGCTGGCACCTAGCACGGTGGTCTCTCTGAGGACCTCCTGATCTCACACAGGTACTCAGCCCTGGCACTCTGGGGGGCTCTCATCCCACTGTTTGCTGAGTGGTCGCTGCCTGGAGGGCCTCAGAGGCAGTCCTGAGTGGGGCAGACACAGCCTCTGTCCTCCCAGAGCTCCCAGTGAGGACACGAGTGAGCAGAGAAACACCCAGAGGTCTTCTCGCGCTCTAAGGGGGTGAGGTGGTGCTGGGAGGTAGAAGGGGTCAGAGAGAGCCGTGTTCCCTGCTCCTCCCCCTGTCCACATCTACCCCTGTTTGCTCCTGCACCGGTCCGGGTATGGGGCAGACATGGCCCTGGCCTTTGGGACTGTTCCCAAAAAACCGTGTTTGGAGAGTGGATAGATGCGGGGAGCCCATCCATTCCCCCACAAAGTGCCCAAGACCCCTATGGCCAGAGCAGTCTATAGGTGGGAAGTGGCTGGCATAGTTACCTGGCTGTTTACATGCCAGTCTGCAACCACGGAGTGAAGATGTAGGGTAGAGGCACTCCCAGTGGGCTCCTCAGAGGCGGTGACTTCTCAGCCCAGCCTCAGGGTCCCCAGGACAGGGTAGTCTTCTGGCACAGCTGGCACTGAACAGGGCCTTGCCTAATGGTGGTGACATGATGCATGGGCCTCGGGTATTTGATGCAAACCCTGGACACGGGCCCTACCTCTCTTTCCCCTGAATGCAGTGAGTCAGCCTGGATGTCGTGGTTATTGTCATCCCTCACATCTAGACGGATGGGGCACTGTTTGGGGGACCCTCAGGGGCAGAGACACCTCTTCCCAGCCCCAGCATGCATGGAGACAGCAGGCTGGGTGAGGACAGGCCAGAAGCTGGCTGGTGAACCAGGCCTGCAAAGCCAGGCCCCGCTGCCCAGACCTGCTCTTGCACCAGCTGGTCCAGGCCTGAGCCCTGGGCATGTCCTCTGCAGGCCCCTTCAGGACTCAGCCTCATTCAGGCCACCTCCAGCCTCCTGGGAGGGCCCCTCGGCTCCCACAGCCTCCTGGGGTCTTGCCCGTCGTAGGGGAAGCCTGTGTCATGGGCAGGTGCCTTCTGAGGGGACTCCAGGCCCTGCCCCACACAGCCTTCTAGGTGCGGTGGGCGGGACCAAGCAGCCATCCTGACAGGGAGGGGCCCAGAGTCACCCCTGGTGTGGGGTGCAGACCCCACGAGCAGCTTTGGGAGGTGGCTGGCAGGGCTGGCGGGGAGGGGCTGTCAGGAGCAAGAGCTGGTGGCGGTTTGCCTGGGCCAGAGATGGAAGGGCTGGCCACACTTAGGTGTTGTCAGCCCCAGACGCTGGGCTGGCTGTCCCCTGGGAGGACCCTTGGCCCAACATGAGTCCGCACTGCCCGCAAGCTGTGAGGGCCCCGCCTTGTCACCCTGCCCGCTGCCCCACAGCCCGGGAGCTGCCCTGAGAACGGCCTTCAGGAGGGGCTCCAGTGGAGGTCTGGAGTGGGGAAGACTCCGTTTGCCCTCAACCCCTGTAGGAGAAAGGCTGTCCTGGCTGGTGGGTCCTGGGGGGCTGTACCTCTCACTCCCAAACCAGCGTACCCCAAAATGAGTCCGCCTCTCTAGGCCTGGTGCCCAGCTGGGTCTGTCTTGGGACCGGCATCCACACCCTCAGCCTCGTGGCCTGTCTGCTGGCTCCACCCCCTCCTGTCCCTCAGGCCTCCACCCCCCACCTCGCCCCTTCTACGCTTGGCCCCCTCCAGCCCAGCCCAGCCAGCCCAGCTCTGGCCCTGCTGGTTCCGAGCCCCTCCCCAGAGCTCCCCGGGGTGAGCAGAGGCCTCCGTGCTGGGCCCAGACCTGTCTCTGCCCCCTCCTGCCAGGCCTCTGTGGTATAGAGTGGCCCCCGGCCATAGTGTGTCGATCACTTTGAGTCCTGCTTTGGGTCCCCTGGGGCTCTTGCTGATCCCGTGTCCCCCCAGGTGGTCTGAGAGCTGACCCGTAGGGCCCCAGGTCCCTGTGCGCCCACTCAGGGTGGATGAGGGCCACGTTCTCAGGGCTGCTCTCCACCGAGGGGGCAGGCCTCCTGCCACTGGGTCCCCGAAGGTCCAGGAAGCAGGAGCTCCAGGGTGGAAAGCTAAGGTGTGGGGTTCCCCCACCTGGGCCTTGTGGGGCAGACGGGGTCAGTGGGGTGGGGCTGGGAGCTTTTCCGGTTTCCTCCCAAGAACGTGGAGCTGGGGAGCTGCACCTGGCATGACTCAGGTGGACTGCTGGCCAGGATGGGGTGCCAGGTGGGGAAGTCCCAGGTGACGCCCACCACCCCGCCCTGTGCCCCGGTGCGGAGCTCCCATCTCTGGAACCTGCCCCTGAGCTCAGAGCAGCCTCAGTGTGAGTGGCTTCATGGGGGCACCTCTGTAAGGGCAGAAAGCCCGAGGCTTGGGCCAGCCTGCATCGGGCAGGGCCCCAGAGGTGGACACGATGCTGGGATCCTCTCCCAGCCTCTTCTGGCCTCCTGCCCAGCCTGGCTCAGGCTGCCTCCTCTGGGGTCTTCCCAGCTGCTCCAGGACTCAGGCCTGCTTCTCTCGACCCCTGTTGTTAATCTCCGAGGTATGTGGGCCACGCCCAGCCAGGGGACACCCCTGGTCTTCCATGCCACAGCTGCAGTCCAGCTGGTGCACCTGATGCAGCTCACCAAGGGCCCAGGGTGCCCACAGGCCTCCCCTGTAGCGGCTCAGCAGGGTCCAGTTTGGGCGGTCAGCCTGTGGCCAGGGCTGATTGTTGGCCCATGGCTGGGGCTGGACTGGGGCCCCTGGGGGCTGTGGGGGACCTAGCAAGGCCTGGGTGCACTGGGGGTCCTCCACACTCTGGGCCCTGTCTCAGGGTGGCACTCACTCTCACATGTGTTATATCTCTAGCCTCACCCACCCAGGACATCTACTCCCCAAGCAGAGGCTCCAAGAAGGGACGGCACCCCAACTCCCACGTCTGCTCCCAGAAGTCGGATGTCTGGTCCTTTGGGGTTCTGCTCTACAGGGGCTTCCCCTATGGCCAATGTCCCTATACAGGTGGGCCCCAAGGCCGCCCAAGGGAGACAGGGTCTCAACCAGGAAGGTGTAGGCTGAGGGTGTGCCATCCAGCTGAGCAAGGAGGCCTCGTCCACCTGGTGGGCACTGACCCTCAAGGGGCAGCAGGGCTCAAGGCTGCCCACTTGGCGGGTCTGGCCAAGGGCTGGGAGGAGGTCTCCTCAGGGGCCCCAGGCCAAAGAAGACAGCCCGGCTCAGCAGCCTCCTCCTGGGGAATGAGCAACCAGGAGACGCCGCAGCAGATCACGGGGTGGTAGCGACTGCCCCACCCCCTACCTGCCCCCCAAGGTCTAAGCGCTTGAGCTGGGGTGCTGTGAGGATGGCCTTTACTGCGCTGCAGGAGGACCTGGGTGCGTCCTGCAGGGACCTGTGCCCCACCACGTGGCCCGGGCACTGGACGCCAGGCTGGCTGCTCCCCCTTTTGCTGGGGCATCCCAGAGGGATGATGTCTGCCGCCAACATGTATGGGGTGTGGATGGCCCAGGCGGAGGCTCCTCACCACTGACCACAGGGCCTGCCCATGGGTTGGCACAGAACGGAGCTAGGGCCCTCAAGCCCAGATAAGGGATCCCCCAGGAGGCTCAGATGCTAGATAACCGGGGCTGGAGCAGTGGGGGACTTTCTGGAGGGGGCTGTGAGGGGGCTGTAGGCCAGGCACCGCAGAGGGAGGAGGTAGGAAAGGGCCCAGGTCACCTGGCTGTGGGTCAGGGCTGAGCAGGTCATGGCGGGAGCCCGTTGTAGTGCCGGATGCCAGGCTGGAGCAGGTCCCAGCCAGGCGGACAGTGAGGGCAGGAGGGCTTGGCCTGAGCCCCTTCGGACCCCTTGGCCGCAGACAGTGCCCCCTCTGTCCCATTCTGGGAGAGCTGAGGGGCTGCCCCGGTGGGTGGGCCTGACAGTGGGGCTTGGGCTGGTCTCCTCTGGTTCTGGGGGTTTCCCGACATGAGCAGCAGCGTGGGGCCAAGGGGCTCTGGCCACCAGGAAGGGCAACACACCCCTTTGCCTCCCAGAGTTGCGGTGAATGCAGAGCGAGGCTGAGCAGGGGGGCCTTGGAGGGGGTGAAGGTGCCTGTGAGGCGACCAGAGGCAGGTGTGCACGGGGCTACTGCTGCATTCCTGGGGCCTCTCATCTGCCACCAGCTGAACAAGTGTGGTGCTCCAGGGCTCTGGGAGGGGCTCTGGGTCCCGAAACTCCTGCTTCCTGGTATGGCTCAGGCAGAGCTCGGCACGTCTGTGCCCAGCAACCCGCTGGGATCCCCTGGACCCGGGCTTGTGGCTGGCCCCAGGGCTGAGGGGACCGGGGTGTGTTGGGGAGGGGGGAGGGCTGGACACCTCTCGGTGGGGGTGGGGCATGGGGCAGATGCTAAGCTGTCCTCCAAGCAGCCTCCACCACCCCTCCCTTCCTGGTGGGAAGCCCAGCGGCTTGTAGGCTCGCGAGCTGTACGCAGTTCTGTCTGCAAACGCAAGGTGAGGGCCGTTGCTCTGTTTTCAATAAAACAGAAAGTGCCTAGGATGCGACTCTCCCTGTGGTTGGTCTGCCTGACACTCCCTGGCACTTCCCTTGGACACAAGAAGCTGGGACAGGCCCTGGGCTGGTGGGCAGACCCTGGGTCTGCAGGCCACCCTCACCTCCCAGTTCCTATCTCCCAGTCAGGTTTCTTCCCACGGCGGTCCCCCTGCCCCCCCATACTCATACACAGCCGAGCCCCCACCCACCACTAGGGTGGACCCCAGGCAGCCTGACTGGTTACCCCGTCCTCCCCACGGGGCTCAGGCCTGGCTATGTGGCTGGGGCACACAGTGGCTGCAGGTGGGCAGGAGTGGTGCCAGGCTCACTGGGTCCTGGGCTGTGGGAGGTCAGGCACTGGCTGTCGGGTCCTCAGGGCAGAGCCAAGGGGCTTGGGGAGGCTGAGGATACCCACCCCACGAGTGTGGGTGGGGCTGGCCTGGCACGGCACCTTGTCACCAGGAAGTGGGCCGGCTCTTCTGATGGGCGGGGTTGGCCTGCCAGGGTTGGCCTTGCCCTCCTGCTGTACAGGGACAGGTAGCATGGCAGGCCAGGTGCTCCGTGCTGCAGCTGCATCCGCCATGGTGTCCCAGGGCCACGCTCACCTGGGCCACAAGTATGTGAGCCTCTGGGATTTCGAGGCCCAGATGGATGAGGAGCTGAGCTTCTGGACAGGGGACCTGTTCCACGTGGCCAGGAAGGAGGGGAGTGGTGGTGGGCCATGCGGCTGGATGCAGTGGGCAGGGCCCTGGCTGAAGGCTATGTGCCCCACAACTACCCGGTGGAGGAGGAGACAGTGGAGTCTGAGCCGTAAGTGTCCCTCGAGGCCAGGCCACGTGCCCTTGCCCCCTGGGCCCTGCAGCCCCTCAATCTGAAGGGAGCCGTCAGGACAGCTCTGTCCCTCTGCGGCTGGGCCAGCCTCCGGAAGGCCGGGGAGGAGGGGGACCCATGGTTGGGGCTGGACCCCACCATCCTGGTTCTGGGAGAGCCAAAGGGCTTTCTCTGTGTGACACCTGGCATGGGGACCTCAGAGGTGTGTGACCCCTCCCCTGGGCTCCCCCTCAGCCACTCTGTGGTGCCAGGACACAGAGAGGGCTCAGCCATCTGCATAGGCTTCTGGGCGGCCAGCCTACAGTAGTGGGGTCTGCCCTGGGGTCTGCGGCAGGGACTGGGCCTTTTGGGGAGCAAAGCTTCACTCCCCTTCCAAACAACAGGAACCAGACATGTGACCTAGTTAGCATGAGCGGAAGTCGTTGTCACACTGTGCCCCGTGTGGGCACAGCACCCCCACCCTGCTCCCATGGCTGCCCCACACTGGCAAGGCAGCACCTGGCCTGACGAGCTCCTGGGAAGCTGCGGCCACAGGCGCGAGCTGGCGCAGCACATCCGCGGAGGAGGCCCTAGCGGGAGGGCCCCAGAACTCCTGTTGCAGCCTGTGCCCCACAGATGGGGACACCCCGGAAGCACAGTAGGGGGGTGCCTACTCCACCTTCTGGGTCACTAAGGCCATTCCTGATGTATAGATTTGGGGTCTTTGTATCGGGGCAGCTTTGGGTCAGGGCTGGAAGCACTAGAAGGTGGAGGCCAGGTGAGGGGGCAGGGATTCAGGGTGGGCAGTGTGGGGTCAGCACAGGGTCCACGAGGGCTCAGGATCATTCCCGCCCCTGCCCCAGGTGGTACTTTGGCCGCATGTCCCGTTCAGAAGCCGGGCACCAGCTGCAGGTCTGTGGCAATGAACCTGGGACCCAATCAGGGTCAGCGAGAAGCCAGGCACTGACTACGTCCTCTCTGGCACAGCTTCCTCGCCCCTCTGCCCCATCTGCGGCCCTGCCCGCACCTGACTGGGGGTCCTTGCCCCTAACCCTCCCTGCATGAGAGCCTGGCACCTGGCTGGTCTGGCTCCGACTGGCTGTGGCATCCAGGACACACCCACCTTCTCCAGGGAACACTGACCCCTGCCGGTGGGCACAGACCAGCCCACCTGGGTGGCTTGTCCCTGAGCCCCCAGGTTGGGGTTTTCTTGTTCACCGTTGGGAGCGCTGCAGGGCAGGATGTGGGCATGGTGTCTGCTCACAGCCCCGCGTGTGAGCAGGAAAGGGGAA